TCAAAACTTCAAGCTCTTCCTGCAAAATAATATACATTACTATTTAAGTTACCTTTCCAAAACGTGCAAAAGTAGTTAATGAAAGATAAAATACATCAATTTAGCATGGTTTATGATTCAAATAAGCAGTATTGTATTAGAAATGGTTACTGGGTCTGAGTGATAAATTAATTAAACAAAATATCTTCAAAGTTTTAATTCAAATAACTGGATAAGACCCGAAAGTGCAATAAACAGTGCCACTGGCACAATAGAAGTAAAAATTAAACAAAAACTTGTATAAGTAAGGCAGAATTAATTACAGCATTAAATTTTCAAAGGCAAAAGATTTAATCCTAAATTTACAACATCAACATCATAAGATAAAAGCCAGATGCTTTATACAACAAAACCTGTGAAGAAAAATCTGTATTATATTCTAAATTTATGAGTGTATAGTGTTACAGGTAACAATGAAACAAAACAAAACATGCTATTATATTTGAACCTCAGTTTTATCCAAAATATTATTAGTAACCTAATTTGTTTGGCTTTATTATTATTTGAATAATTATGAACAAGTAAGAGAAGTTACAGCTAATTAAACATTAGTGACTTGAACAGAATGTAAACCTTCAAAGAAACCCATTAGCTGTTTAACACACTTTAACCAACTTTCTTGGACATGAGGCAGTTCAGCCACATACACAGAAAAAACTGGAGGTTGCAAAACATCATCATATTTTATAGCTATTTTCTAAGAAAAATACATTATTTCTATAAGTAACTTTGACATGTTTACATTTCGGAAATGTAAAAAGAGGAAACAAAAAACTACTTATTCTCTTGAGTTAAATAAAGCTTTCAAAGTTTGGCCTGTGGTAAAAGATTGAGTCTTATATTGAGAATAAAATTCTGAAAAAAATTATAACTTAATTCCCACTCACCTCTTGAAGTTCTTTACAACTCATGACCAATGTTAAACCTACAAGTGGATTTCCTTGTTCACTGAAAAGAAAAATATAACATTACTGAATGACTAATCACATAAAACAAAAGTTTGTTGTCTGCATTTCTGTTTTACTGAAGAGTGCTACACAACTGAACTGAATTTTTAAAATATAAGAATGTATCACATTTCTCCAGATAATAAGTTTTTTGCCTGGACCAACACATAATGCGTACATATAGAAAATCATGCATCCTCTGTCACAAATTCATAATATACATGTCTCGCTTGTACTAACTTTAATATTTACCTACAGCTAGCCCAAAGAAAAACCTCTCTATTTGGAGTGCCAATTACTCTGTTCATAATACCAAAGATGCTATTTACACTTGGAAACAGAATACACTAATAACCCTTCATGTGCTTTGGAGCCCTCTCCTGATATAACATACAAAATACATAAATAACCACATAAGTACCACTAACTTGCCAACGAAGAGAATTCTGTAAACCTTTTCAATTAGGAAGTGATAATCTCCAACAAAAGGAAAGAAAAATATCAAACTGTAATTACACGTTGGATAAAATCCTCATGCCTTATAATTTAAAAGTCTACCACAATTATGTAGCCAGTAAATACCGTTCAAGATTTACAGATTCTAACTCAACTAGTTCTGATAAAAGGTTAACCACAAAGATTACTATTTGTGGAATTGATAGAAAGTACATAGCAAATTAGCTTGGTTGTTGAAAACAAGGATAGTAAAATTCTTGGAAAAGCTGAAATTAACAATTTGTGATTACAATAAAATGTGTAAGACAAGTTTTGGTGTTAAGAAATGTAAAATAAAAAACCTTGTACATGGAAATTTGAAAATAAAATAATTGGAGTATTGGTAATGAAGAAAGACAGAAGGATTTAGGAGTAATTATAGGTAATGTAACCTACGGACAAGGCTGTCCTTGGAAAAATTAAAACTTTAAATCCACCTTTATTTTTCAGAAGTTAAGATTCCATTCCTAAACTCCTGTAAAATTTTGGCCTCCACTACCGTCAATGGAAACATATTCCATAAGTCAGTCATCCTCTTAGAAAAATAGAGCAGTCTGAATTGGAACCTAGCTTAATCTTGTGTCCTCTTATTCCATTATCTTCAGAACATAGCACAAAGAAATCAAGATCTTAATCCTATTGATCCCCTGGATAATCATGTAAACTTTAATAAGATGAACTCTTCTACTTTATTTCTCAAGCAAAAATAAGAGATCATAAATTATCTCTGTAAGATAACCCTTTTATCACTAGAATCATCTTAGTACTAGTCCTTTGAAGTTTGAGCCTTTTGCTTTAATTCAGTATCCTTTGTTTGATAAAGAGAACAATATTGTAAATAGTATTCTAACCAATTATTTGTATAGTGATAATTACAACATTCTATTACTGTTAGCTTTACTTCTAGTAGTAGTAACAGTGCTTCAGTAGCTTGAGTAACTGATCCACCACTATACAAAAATCGTTTTCTTCTCTCACACTACTTAGTTCCCATCGATATTAAATGTGATCCAAATTATTTTATATATTAAACAAGTACTTGATGTCATAAATCCGTGACCAACTTTATCAGTTTATGCAAACCACATCAGGCAAACTTAGTTACCGAAAATGCTAATTCTTGTGGAGACCATACATTATAGTCTAATTAATTGATGAAAAAATAACGTTAATAGTGGTTAGAGCTTAGGAAGTAATCTAATTGAGTAATTATAATTCCTTAAGTTACCACAACCATACCGTCAAAGGCATTTGAAATTATATAGTATTAGTATAATATCTTCATTCCTACATATTATTATTAATAGTGATAATACTTGTAATGTAAAACATTACACAAATAAATACATTTGTGTTGTGTACTTCTGAAGTGATACTGAAATTTTGAAGAAAACAAAGAGTAAAAACAAGGCTACCTAACTTTATTCCTTACTCCTTCGAATACTAATAGTAATAAATTGTAACGTAAAGCCGTCTTTGCTCTGAACACTGTACAGTTTCACTGATAAAATTAGAGATGAGTTTATAAGTAGAATCGTTTTGTACCTAATAAAACATTAGTAACCATTCTACTGCGAATTTAAACATCTAAAAATCGCAAAAGCAAAATATTTTCCCATTTTCCATGCGGTTATGCTCAATACTTGTCGTAGCGGCATCTATAAACATTCGTTGCAAATAAATATTTTAAAAGTTTGTTTCTCAAGAAAGTATATGAAGAAATTTTTTCTTTATATACATTTTGAGCATAGTCGTTCTTAAAAAGAAGTCCTCAAGCTTCTAATTTTGCCTCTACTTCATTTGCTAAATGTTAAAGACACTACCTTTTAAAGTTAAATAACCTAAAACATTTAAGCGTGACAATTCCGATCTTAAGTTGTCTAGTAAATTGTTGTCGTATAGTATTGAGTGTCATTTATTCCACTAGTGTTGATTGTTAAAAATGTATAAAAGCAACATAATTCTTAATGGTATTTCAATATGTTGTTCTTTGTTTGTTCATTCGTTTGTCTGTAATTAAGCGTAAAACTACACAAAGAATTATCGCTAATCCACTGGGAGCATGTGTTGTTTTAATAATTATTTTAGTTTAAAACTACAGACTTGGAATACAGTTAATGTCAAATATTTGTAAATAAAGAATATGTAGTTCATTCCAGTAAATATTGTTATGCAATTACGGTTGCATATCAAAATTATAGCCTAAACTCCCGAATAAAGTTTTGTATTTACAAGTAAACTTGCCGAGAATCAAGAATCAGTGAAGAAGCAAAGTAAGTGCCAATTTTTGTAAATATGTGATAGTCAGTGAAAACATTAAAGTTCCTGTATAATTTAATACGCCAAGTTACTTTTCAGGTACTTCCAATGATAGGAGTAAGTCAGTGATTAAAGTAAGGGTGGACCAGAAAAAAACAAATATTAAAATTGCCAATGAGAGACCCCTAGCTATAAGGGGCCGAGGGGAGCTGAACTAATATGATAAGATGATTGAAAGTTTATGTTGAACTGCAATGAGAGCCATACGATTATACACACGCATAAAAAACAAAACAAAAAAAAACGAACCTTCACCTGAAAGGATTGAAAGTGAGGGAATCTGGGAGCGATGTTTGTGACGAATTGTGTCTGTTTGTTGAATTTCGTACAAAACTAACGAGGTTTATCTGTTCCTGATTCTAAAGTGATGATACTAAAGGAGAAACAGTAAGTTAACATCACCCACCATCAACTTGACACGAACCACGGAATCTCTGATACAAGATCCGACATGGTAACTACTGAGGTCGCGCCTTGGTTTTGGAGTAATATCACTTTAATTTATTACTTGATAAAATATTTTACAGTATAATTATTTTTAAAGTTTTCTAAAATAAATGATCTATTGAGCATTGCCCACCCCAGCTACAGATTTCCACTTTAACGACCGTAGTTATAGTACTAATTTCAGTGAAAGTTCAGTGAATTTCTTACGTTAGTGAATTTCTAAATAACTTGTGAAACCGAGAGTAATTCATCTGAATTCCAGTACAAAAAAATTTTGTGTCAGAAAGGAAGAGGATATTTAACAATGAGAAATCATACAAAAAAAATAGTTTGAAGATTTGAAAAGGAAAACGGCAAGACATTATTAGAAACTTAGAAAAGCAGTCGATGTTTGTCGAAAAATTATGTTTACTACTAAGAACGTATTGTTACGACAGCGGAAGTCACGCAACGCTGGGAGCATGCGTGCTGGAGTTTCTAGAAGGATCATGACTTATCGAGGAACCCCGCGAATGTCCGAGTGTTTGCCAGGCGCCCTCTTTTTTAGTATATAAGCCCGGCAAATAAAGCCAGCGATAGATAAATAGGCAGATAGATATGCAAATAGATTGAAGATAAAGATAATTGAGTCAAGTGAACAGTAGGCACTGTAAGTGTGTGAATCACTGTGATTTA